GGGTGGGGAAGGTCACCAGGGGTGAGTCTATATAAACGCGTGAGCACCGGGGGAGGGAAGGGAAGGGAAGGGAAGGGAAGGGAAAAGGGGTCACATGAAGTGAGAAGCACAAAGCAGGCCGGCAGGCAGGCGGGCAGGCACCTCAGACAACAGCTCTGAGGGACCACCCACCCACCCACCACAAGAGTCTCTCTCTGACTCCCATACATGAATCTGATGCAGACGCCCCCACGTGTCTCACTCCGTTGAATCAGATACACAAACCCCGGTTACGCCCCACTTCGGATCTTTTATAAACGCTCTCTCCCGCAAACACACACAACTCAAAATGAAATGTTTATTTTTCTTTTTTCACTCGTGTTTTATTTATTATTCCTCGGTCAATTCATATATAAACTTAAACTTCATTTATTTTCATAAAGGCCTTTCGGTGTTTGCAAATTGGACATTTGCTCTTCCAAATTTTCATACATCCCTTCCAAATATTTAGATATTTCCTCTGCATCCCTTAAGATCTATATATGTCGCTTACGTAAACACATCTCTTATATGGAATAGGTATGAAAATTATTTATCAACCAATGGAGATTGATTACAATGCAATGGAATATATATGTATATACACACACGTATGTGGAAGTTTGTATTTCCTTTGTAAAAATGTAGATAAATATGAAATTAACTAATTAGAAAATCATTAGCCTATTCGTAGTATCACTTTGCCAATAGGAAGGAAGCATAAACATTTTGGGATTTATTTTGGGGTTAATCAAACCATGCTTTTCTTTGGTCACTTTGTCAAAAATTCATATGTTTAAGCTTTTAAATTATTGATTTGTACAGTCAATTTTATATGGCAAATGACCAAATATTAAATAATCTATCATGCCAACAACACATGCAAATGATGAAAATTCATATATTTGCTAAGACTCGTCCCATGGGTCAGTTAAATAGTGAAACAACGAGAGATTAGGCTATTGACAACTAAGTATAGTAGGGTTTCAATGTATAAAACACAATACCTTCTCGTTCGAGAACAATCTTCTTTTCTTTGCTTAACGATGCCAATAAAATGGTTTTCTTTTTCTTTAGTAACATTAAGAAAAACAAAAAAACACCAAGTTAAGATTAAGCGAGATATATGCAAACAAAAAGAACATAAATGGGACTTCGACCATTTCATCGATTCAACCATCAACAAGCATCCTAAACATCGTAAACCCATACTCATCTACTACTGCAGTGGGCACATGCGACATATTGCTGGCCTCGTTCATTATGTTGAATGTCTATCATGTTAGTCTTTGTAAGGACGTGTCTGTCCTCGTGCTCGTAGTGGTGGTGGCGGTCGGTGACAAGCCATGCTTCCATCGATCACGAAGTGGAGGTTCCCAAGATTTATACACGCACGCACACGTGTTGGGAAGAGGAACTACTGTCATGGGCACATCGGCGCCGCTTGCAGCTTTCTTTATGCATTTCCCTGTGCAAAGAACGGATACCCTTCACAGAATTTGTGTTCCTCGTCTGAGGCCACTACTTATCGCCACAGCAGCAGAGATGGCGTCAGATGTGATGGATTGGATGCATGAAACGGCAGAGCCATCCACTTAAACTAAGAGTCGCACAGGATAGAGATGGAAAAAGCTGATCTGATAACTTGCGGGACACTAAGAAATGGGACGCATAATGATAATAATAATAATACTGGTAAGAAAGATGAGAAAGGGAAAGAAGAGAAGCCGAGGGAATATGCTCGAGCTTTATACCTCCAGACGCGTGCCTTCGCTGCTACCAAGCAAAGCCTGTCGTCAGCAAATGCGATGTGCCATCCCACCATCTGTTCCGTGCGAGCTCGAACGAACCAAGCCGGTTCGGCATCGACCACACTCGAGTCAACGAAGACAATAATTCGTGGATTGGGTTCGGCGATAGGGACTCGAGGGTCGGTTTTATGGGGGGGAGAAAGCAGAAGCGTGGGGAGGTAGAAAGAAGGGTGGGGAGAAAGCGAGGCCGAAAGTAGGTCGGGTTGAGTCGACTCCGTCGGCCACTAACTACGGGAAAGGAGGAGATCATATATCTGATCCGTTCTATTTTAGATCAACGGCTGAGAACCTGCCTTCAGTCACACGATATGGGCTTCTAAATGGGCCTCAATACGTCTCGGCTTTCTTGGCCCAATTGAGGTTTGGTGTGCTCTGGGCCTCCGTATATCCACAATAGGAAGAGATCTTCCCATCAACAACGATTGCTTGCTACAGTTTATGACATTTTAATTGCAACTATTTATATGCGTAATTAACAAAATTATTGAACAAATAATTTATGAAATCATCATCATAATGCAACTATTGTTTTTAAGCCTATACATGAACCACTCACTGCTGCTGTGCTTACTGTGGTACTCTGATCTGACCAACTTCAGCCGTCGGATCAGTTGAGGCGGTGACTGCAATCGCAATAGAAGCTGATCCGAAGGAATGTACACGGCGTTACATGATAAGCGGAAACAAAAAGGAAAGGTAGGCGAGGGAGGGAGAGGAAGACGAAGACCATCATGAGGGTGACAATAATGAGGAATGGGGCCGGTGAACTGATAGAGGTACAATAGTGGGGGGGAAGGTCCATCGTTCGGTCAACAACAATGACAACGCACACCGTGAACGGGAAAACTAGAGGTTGCTGTTATTGCTGCGAACCAGGAGAGGAGGAAGAGGAGGAGGAGGAGGAGTTGGATGAGGAGGAAGTGATGCTCCAGGGTGTCATGTCCATGGGGTAGCTGCCGAGGACGCGGAGGAAGGAAGTGAACTCCTGGACCTCGGCGAGGGCGTTCTGCGCCCGGCGCTCCGCCAGGGAGGCCTGGAAATCCACGTAGAAGGTGTACTCGAAGTGCTTGGCGGTGCCGGCTGCGCCGCCGCCGCCGCTGCTGGCCTCGTCCTCTAGCCGGATGGGCCGCTGGCGGTGCGGCCGGCTCTCGATCTTGGTCAGGCCGATGTCACGGAAGGCGAACGCGGAGAGCACCTTGAACAGCACGGACGTGCCCTCGCTGTCGTGGGCTGCGAACACGATGCTCGTCTTGAATGGCCGGTCAACCCGGGGCACGATGGGCTCCCGCGCCAGCATCACGAACCGCGTCACGTTGCCGCTGTCGTCCTGGATCCCGTCCGCCAGCACCTGCATCCCGTACAGCTCCGCTGCCCGAGCCGACGCGATGGCCGCCGTGTCCTGTAGCCCGTTCAACGCCACGTACTCGGCGGCCCCGGCCGTGTCGTCGAAGGCTTCGCGCGCCACATTGAGGCCCATCGCCGTCAGGGTGTGCTCGCACTGGGAGAGGGCTTGCGGGTGGCTTATGACCCGGGTCAGCTGCTCCTTGCGGACGCCCGGGAGGGCGAGAAGGCAGTGGTGGACGGGGAGCTGGACCTCGCCGACGATATGGAGGCGGTGCCGGAGGAGGAGATCGTAGTTGCGGTGGATGCTGCCGCCCAGGGAGTTCTCCACGGGCAGGACGGCCCGGTCGGCGACCCAGAGTTCCACGGCCTGGAAGGCCGCCTCGAACTGGTCGCACGGGATGGCGTCGCAGTTGGGGTAGGCCTTGGCGGCGGCCGCCTCGCTGTAAGCCCCAGGGACGCCCTGGTACGCCACCCGGAGCTGGGACCCGTGCTTCGGCGCCGGGGACAGGTCGGCGATGGTGAGCGGCTGCGGGAGCTGGACCGGGACAAGGTCAAGCGCGGCGGCAGCTGAGCCATGACCGTTGACGACGGGGACCAAGCTGTGGTTGGTGTCATCCCCGGCTTCGTGGTGCTGCGGCGTCTGCTGATGGTTCTGGGAGGTGGTCGCGACCTTGCTGGAGAGGATAGCGCAGGCGCTCTGCCAGTCGGCGCGGTTGGCCCCGACGGCGCCGTGGAAGAAGGGGGAGATTTCCGGCCGGTGGACGCACCGCACGAGGTGGGTCCTCTGTAAAGGGATCTTAGGTTTGGCGATGGGGAGAGCAAGACGAGTCGAATGAGGGCCCGTGGTGGCAGGAGTCAGGATGGCCGCCATGAGAAGTAGCTGCTAGCTCGTTCAGCTTGCAGTGGCAGCTTAGGAGGAGGAGGAGGAGGAAAAGCCCTTCTTACTGTGAAGCTGAGGGGAAGTAAGCTGAGAGAGGGGGGCACTTTATACGGAGGGAAGTGGAGGTTTGGTGGGGCGATGGCCGCCATGAGAAGGAAGACGCGCAGGGAGGAGGAGGAGGAGGAGGTTTGGTGTGGTCAAATCTCCACCAACCGCGGAAACGACCACTCGGCTCGACTCGACTCGGGTGCATGTATCGCCACTAGTTCCGTTGCTTTTTCGGGGAAGGTAGGTGGGGCTCACCGACACCCCCAAGAGCTTCTTCTTCCTTTCTATTATTTCTAGCTGGGTTTATTGACCACAGCTGAGTGGTTGATGTGTTGATATGTGGTTGGACTGAATCACCAGCTAAACAACGTGATTCATTCCCCCTTTCATTGAAAGCTTGCTATTTATTGTCAATCCCTTTTTTTGCCTATTGATAATTCCAAAAAATAATAATTAAATAGTAATTAAATTATTCGCAGTTCTTCGATTACCAAAGGATGAAAGGAAGTATAAAGCAAGCGTTAATTCTGCTGCGGAATCACAGTGAAACGAGAGCAGGGTCGAGTGATAGACGTGAGAAGTTGTGGGGAGGGGATGGGGCACGACTTGGTCGCTTCTGGCTCTCCCGAGTGTGTGGGCGTGGGCAGATACAGCGAGCGCTCAAGGCATCAGACCATTCGCGTGCGTCTTAACCTCGTCAATGGAGTTCAGATGTAGCGACTTGGTGATTAATGTGATCGCATGACATGCAGGAATCGGTCGTGACTTGTGGTTGAGATTGTGCGTGTGTGTTGCTTTTATGTATGATTACGATCGCAAGGTGTCTGACTATATTCATTGGTTGTGCGTGGCGCTCTTTTGGATTATTGGAGGGAATGATACAAACTCCCATAGTTATATTGGTTTGATTTGGGTAAAAGCTTTTAGGCTACGATTTTAATGTTTTTTTATTCATAACTAAGTTGCATATCAATATACTTGAGAGATATCAACACTTCTATATTAGTCTTGATAGCCCAAATTAGAAAGCATTATGATAAGAAAACATCTAACTTATAGTCAAACATTCTAGCACTATATGATGGATACCAACTCAAACACCCTATCAACCCAACATGTCATCGAAGCATCTCATATGATCAAGACAACATATTATGGCGTTAATCCTAACATGTAATAGTTTAATTGAGTCTTTGTGTCCGAACAATATTTGATGATTCCACGTAACTACTCCCACAAATTAACACTTACTCAAAGCCCATTATAAAAGACCTTACATAGATTATTTTATGAGAGAGATGTATTTTAGTTCATTCATTTCTTGATATAAACTTAAGAATCAGATAAGCTTTTGTTGAGTACACTTGCAATATAATTTTTGCATGACTCCTTAAGAAATTTCAATATTTCTTGACACTAAACTTATACTATGCTTAGACAAAGACCAAGGTTGCTTATAAATCGTCAATAATATCAAGACATCTTAACAAGGTTAATTTTATCTTGGACAATCAAAATCTGTAATAATATTTATTATTTAAAATTCATAATAATATTATAATGTCCACACAATCATAGCTATACCTTCAAGCATAATAATAAACATATTTTAGTCTGACATATGACACCAAGAAAAGTTAATTATTTCGTTCCTACCGTAAACCTATTATGATTTCACTAAATCAAGACGATATAATTTATATATGATGATATAATTTTTATATGCTAAGAGAATATTTATTATATCATATAAAATACTGAGGATCTCTCTCTCTCTCTCTCTCTCTCTCTCTGGAATTTTGATCTCATGAATTCTGAAATTTGCAACACTGTGACGAGGGTTAGGTGAAACACGTGAGCTTTTGACCATTCATCGGTGTCTTGTTCATGAGTGAACAACCACACGTGATTATTTCTTATAAACGAAAACAAAGACTATTCGCCATAGATCAACCATCACCTGCTGTTCAAGAGAACATGCTATTCGACGTAATGACGTCGTCACTATTGGTGGACTTTATGAACCCTACGCCACCAGTCGTCTTTGTAGCGGCGAGCACGGAGCCGACAAGGAATGAATGGGTCCCAAACACACAATAACATTTGACTCTACTCGTAATCATTTATTCAAGTACGCTGATGCAATCCAGCCGGTGACTACAAGTGTTAGCTGCAGTGATCATATATTGAGAAGCAAAATGATACACGTTGTTCTAATGGAATTTAACTTATTTCTAACAAGCATATTTGGTAATCCAGAAAGAGAATTGCAACGGAAATTCTAACAAAAATTAATTGCATGCCAATGTGACGTCATATCAAACTTCTTGAGAATATATCAATCAGTTTTATGTAATTTGGTTTTGCCAACACAAAAAGCTTCCACTAAAAAAATATATAAAACAGAATAACAAAGTCTTACACATCCATCACTGGTCACAAGGGCGTGACGAATTAATGTGTTCCACTATTAACATGAGTGAAAATATAAAAATAGAGCAAGTAAAGAATGAGAATGAGATCGATAACCGTTGGTAGTAACTCTTCATAGAGTAAAATAAATCTTTAACCTGAATAATCATATATTTTGAAGGATCTCAGGCAACATCTGACCACACTGTATGAGAACCTCGACTAAGGGTTGAGCATGAGCGACATCTCCTTTACAGAAGAAACTATGCAAGGCACCAGTAATTGAATGGCGTGCCATCGTTGTGAGAACGTGTACATAGTCTTCGATCGAGGATGGAAGATCCATGAATATGGTGATACCAAATTCCTCGAGATCTTCCTCGTGTAAACTATCATCGTCCGTAGCGAAGACTCTGAGTGCCTTTCTGCTGGATTAAAAAAAAAAATCAGATTATTTCCAACACAAATTATCTAAGACAAATATTTGCGTGCTGACAGTAACAAATGCATTACTTTGTTCTATTGAACAGTATAAACATAGGGCTGCATGATGAATGTAACATGGGATCAAAATCTCACTAAACCATTTTGTGTTGGTAAAATGTAAATCCAAAAATACAAAGTAATAGGTCATATATTACCTGTCAGAGATAATAGAAAAGGCACATGAAGTGTCCTCGGATATCTCATAACCTTCTTCTTTG